TTGACAGATCTTCACAGAAGACACCCATGTGCCTCAGACTTTGGACCATTTCACACAGTATACTGATGTAAACTCAAGTATACCACCAGACCTAAACTTAACAGAGTTCTGTTAAGGCAAACAGAGCTCCTTATGTACATGACAGGTAGGTTGTTGAACACATTTCGCCAAATTGTTTTTTGCATTTGTAGGTGTACCTTTAAAATATTAACGCTATTGGAGTTGTTGTGCAGCAGATTTGGTCAAATCCAATAACACATTGGGCTGATTTGGGAAAACTCAAGGGATCTTTAAAAGCCAGTGGCATTCATTTGAAGCTCACTGAATTGCACCTGACTCATTCCAAAGATACAGTAGTAATTTGGAGGGACATAGTCATATAAACTGCCAAAACAAATATGCCTCTCCCCAATTTTTCCATAAGGTAAGCAGAGGGGAGGGGAGGGGAGGGGAGGACGTGCTTTAGTCACCAACAGCTCTGGCTACTAATGGTGGTGAATTGCTTTATCAGGGTTCTCCAACCACAGTACTTTGGGAGAGGGAATGTGAAGTAAGAGATTATAGGAGTGCTCCAGTGTTCAATTGCACTTAGCTCTCCTAGGAAAAGGGAGCATTAAAAGATTTTGGAGGGTGACTCTGGAGATCCTTCTTGGCTTGTGTATTCTTCCTAAACCCTTTCTTGCCTATCAATCTGGAAGAAACCTTTCTTCATTTCCTTTCAGTTCAGTCCTTTGCAAAATCTTCTCCTATAATCAATCCTCATTTCTTGATTTTTAATCTGTTAAACATTTTATGCCAGTGTTTACAATATTCAAGTTAAAATTCTACTCCAAATCTATCCACACCAATTTGTTTGTAAAGTAGGATGTCCATTTGGCAGCCCAAGAGGCAGGATTCAGAGACTTCCTATCATTCTATTGGGGGAAAAGAGGAAGGGGATGAGTTCCAACCATCTCCGCTACCCTCTGAAATACCTTCAAGCAAAGACCACACAAGTGCACTTCCTTTCTGCCATTGGAGAATGCTCCAGGGATAGCAGTGCATAGACACAGGTCTTGCCCCATGGGGCAGCTCAGCCAGCACAATTGCTTGGATCCAAACAAAGAGTGAGAATCCTATGCATGTCTATTCACATGTATGTCCAAGGGGCTTTAAATGGATCTTATTCCAGATGGAGGTCCACAGAATTGGATCCTCCGTGAGTCACACTGAGGCTCCACAGAAATCCTTGGCAACATAGAAACAGAGAAACAAAGCGAGTCAGAAGGGGCTTCCCGGGACATCTAGTCTGACTCCCGGCTCCAGCTGGCTCCGCTCACGACATGCCCACCATGTGCATGTCCAAACAAACGTTTTGCAGAGATTCAGTGGGCTAACTGAATATGACTTAGTCTGGAACCTGAGGAGCCACTATGGCAGGTGTCTCTGGAGGAAACTGCTCCCGTTTCTGCCAGCTCACAGATTTGGCTCTGCCCTCCTCCTCAGGGCCACCCTGCCTCTAGATTTCCACAACCACACTCCCCACAGCCATTCACTTTAGAGGTTAAGGAAAGCTGAGCCCTCCCTTTGCCTCTGAAATTAGCACAGGGTGTGGGTGGGAAGAACTTGGCTCAGAAACAGAGCACCCTTTCGCTGCATTGCTTCTAAGACCACTTCCTTCCCAGCAGTGATGGCTTCTGAGCCAGAGGGAGGCCCAGACTTCCCAACAGCCTTGAAACAGCCTTTTAGAGGGGGAAGGGATTAGGCTCAGAGAAACCGCCTTCTGAGTCCAATCCGCCACTCCCTCCAGCAATGGAAGTATTGCAGAAGTAAAGGAACAAAGACTGGGGCAGAGTTTCTTTTGCCTACCCGCTGCTCCAGTGCATTTATTTGTATTCCCAATGGTTGGTTTTAGAGTCTTTTCACCTCATGATAGCTGGAAAATTAAAGAGATACTGTAAAAGAAATTAAGCAGGGTGGAGGGAGGGGGGTCCCTCCCAAGCCTATCTGCACAGTCCAGATGATTTCCCACTGAGAAAGTTTGACCTCAGCTTCTCCCAGACAGAAGACAGATGGATAAATATGTGCTCTGTTAGTCACCAGAGAGAAAGCATATCTTAGGCTGTCCAAGAAAATTTTCACTGGCTGCCACAGCCGTTTCTGTTTCTACAGCTTTCACAAGCAATCATTATTTTGCAGATTAAGCGATGCAGTGTGATAGATCAGCCTGCCATACACAGCTGTGTCTTAGAGAGACAGAGACACAATCTCTCTGTGAGCAGGATCCTCATGTTTAATCACATGACCCTCAATAGTCATGTGATTATGCTGTCCTGCCTTACCTTCCCATTCATACAGGCAAAAAATAATCATGCAAACTATTAAATCATGTGACAAAAATATGTCCACTGAGAATTGGGCCTGCAGTTCCAACGAAATCCTAACCTTTGGCTCTGTTGGCTAAGGCTGATTGGAGTTGTAGGCCAAAACACCTGGAGGGCCTTAAATTATCCATTGACACATAGTAGACCTTTCTCTCTAGAAACTTTACTCATTTCCTCCAAAAACTGCAGGTCAATTTGATAAATCTGTGGAAGGAATATCTCTTCAAGAAATTCCATATCATAACAGAGTCTTTACAATTTCAGACTGAACTATGATTTTTTGTTTTGTTTTTGTGGTACCAGTCTGTGTGTTCTTTGTGTCCTATAGAATTCCATGGGGACTGCTGAGAATCAGATCTGCTTCCCTCTGCATAAATCAGAATGCAGTTTGCCTGCTTCTCCTCAGCCTGCTGCTCCCTAACCCTTTGCATCATGAGCTGAGCCCTATACCATTTATAATAGAATCTATTTTCTGGCTGTCTGAGATCTGATTAGTAGGCTTCGGCCATGTGAATGTGCCTAACGCACAGAAGGGTCAGAAAGGAATTACTGTAACATATTTCCAGAAAAGTAGCTGTGCTGGTCCATTGTACTTCTTTAAAAAAATCCTCAGTATACTCCCAAATAATTGTATAAAATCCAGTGAGGCTGAGCAAATCTGCATAAGACTGAGCCATGCATGAGTCAAGATGAGTGCTATAGTTTTGACTTTGCTCCAGTTTTAGATGATGTTTAGAATGCTAATTTTAATCTAGTGGTGCAACCTCTAAAGGGACTTCCTTATCTTAGAGTCATTAAGCCAAAATGCTCAAGGCTCTGGCTCCAGCTACTGCTAGCATGTGGCCCCCAGTAGATCACTCCTGGGGGAATGTGGCCCTCATCAGAAAAAAGTTTGCTCACCTCTGTGTTAGGTGTCATGCCATTTGTCCTAATTGTGCTTACACACAAACTGAGCAAGCAGCACATAACCATCACATGGTTTTCAGATGTTCCATCAAAGCTTCATGACTAGATACTTCTGCAAATGGTTCATACTTACAATGTACTCATTGAAACTTGCGTATGAATGGCGACTGACAATCTCAGGTGTCTTTCACAGGGATACTAAGTTCACAAACTGTATATATGGAACATTCATAGAGGAAATTGCTCTATCTAACAAGTTCGAGGAGCAACGTAAGAGTCATCATCACATTTCTGCAGAAAACATCATGTGGATTGTCAGTTATTACTGTGAACTTCTCTTCGAAGATCAAATGTTAATTGGAGTTTTTAAATCGCTCCATCTCATGAAAGAGGAAGGACTGTACTTTGGCATCCCGCATAGCCCTTTCTCTTCTTAGGTTTGGGCTTGAACAACCAGAGATTTAGCTGAGAGGCAACTTAACTGATGTGGTTGGACTGCTTATGTTATGTGTGAGTGCCGCACAGTAATTCTGTTCTCACAGTATACAGTAGTTATCATCACACTGAGTTGAGCTTTCTGCCACAGGAAATGTGTGTGTGTTTGTTTCTTTGTTTGTTTGTTGTTCTGTGGTGAGATAATCTTCATTTTCATACTTTGCAGTAACAGCTAAGATTCGACCTGGATATTTGGACAAGGAAAACCAAATCCCTTCTTTCTGTTTATCAGCTATCAGACATAGTATACTCTCACCATTCTGCCCACTGGAGCCCTTTTCCCCTCTTCTTGGTGACTATCTGTCCCTATTTCTGCTAAAGCATTCATCCTATGCTTCAGAGAAATCTTGTAATGTAAATCCTTCTGTTTTCGCTTTTGCTGAGAGTAGGTGTTTAGCCATATGCTTTGCCTGTAATGCCTGCCAAATGCCTGGTTGAGACTGAAGCCTGGTTGAACTGCATAGATTTGTTGTGGAGTTGATTATAATGAAAATCAAGGGACCAGTTGCACTTGTTGTTATAGGCAACTGTGTGTACGTGCACATAATCAGAAACACCATTAACTACACATGAACTGGTATTGCAACCTAATATAAATCAATAGTCACATGTTAAACATATTTCCCAACTCCACATTTTATCAGTATATCTTAATACAAATGGAGGCATGAGTCAGCGTTCTCCAAAACATTGACTTCCAGATGCATGGCCAATGGTCAGAGAGGATGGGAGTTGTAGTCCAGAACCTCTGGAGGGCACCAGGTTGCAGAACATGGGAGCAAGCCCCACTAAACTGAAAGGGTTGTATCACCAAAACATACAGCTTTCATCAGTGGAACTCAGAAGGCAATGATTCCCCTCTCCCTGGCAGCACCCCACAGGCCTGCAACACCTGCTCTAGCAGAGGGAAAAGTGGAAATCCTCCAGCCCAGCTTCCCCGTCAGTGGAATAGAAGAGAGAGTGATCCGCAGCAATTTCCACCACTCCAAGTAGTACCAAAACTCTTCTCTGGAGGACCGCGCAGCCTTCCTGAACAATGTAATCCTCAGCACAGCTTGTTCCTGTGCTGGAGACTGCAGCGAGTGGGGGGTTGGCAAAAGTCCCTTCCATCCGCTTCTGACACTTGATCAGAATGTCCCACAGGGAAGCGAATGTGCCTACTGGTAGAAAAATAGCTGGATCCAATATAAGTTAATTATGAATATATATATATACATGTATATTTTTCTCTTTTAGCATTGTTTTAAAGGTCACTGTATCTGGTTAACTCCAGATATCTTGAAGCAAGATGGAAACTGGGGGGCATGGAGCAAATTTGGGTCCTGCTCTCGAACTTGTGGAACAGGAGTGAAGTACAGAACGCGGCAGTGTGATAATCCGCAGTAAGCAAAACCTCAACTAGTTGTTTTCCTTACTAGCATAAATCTTTGTGAGATATATATTTGACATGATAATAACAGTATGCAAAATAATAAAATATTGGGTTATGATCAAAGCCTATCCCATTGTAATGCTCTGTTTCCCTGCAGTGCTAGAGTTGGATGAAATAATGCAGACCACACAATGTTAACAATGCTGGATTTGCATGATACTGTGATTGTTCTGCATGCACGCAGCTAGAATTTGGGTAATACCCCATTTTGCAACGGGGCTTCTAGAAAGTCCCTTGAAATGAGCACAGCAGAAACAGCTGAGGCCACTGGATACTGCCTCTTTCTTTCTGCTCTAAGAGGCAATCTACATCCAAGGCTGCAAAACAAAACAAAAGGAAAGCTTCAGGTCTATATATTAGGTACCGATGGGACTGAAGCGGATCAGATCAAGTACTCTTTATTCCTGTGAACACTTGGATGAACTGAACATAAGTCCCGTTGATTTCAGGGTATGCGCAGATCCACACATGCATCTGCTTTCAGGGAATTTTCTTCATTAATTTCACGGGAGTGAACCAATCTGCACATGCAGTAGGATGCACAAAGTGCACCGCTCAGACCTCGATCCAGGCGCCACATTCTAATGGATTGGATTGATTCAAATTAACATCAAACTCTTTTTATAAACAGTGGGTTTTTGGGGGTGGCCGTCTTCTCCAGATCGTGGCCCAAGATCCAGAAGTGCCTTTGTAGTCAGTATTACATAGCAGTAAAGACTTTACAGTTGTTGAACAGGTGCACTTGGGTCTGTCTGAGATATTGCATATGACATTTAAGATAGCATGTACAATGTGTTTTCATTACTTCATACCTATGTGTACACATAGCAAGGTAAATTTTACAGATCATCCAAGTACAGAGACTGGAACTGAGATCAGCTATCATGTATCCACCTGCCCATAGTTCTAAGTTTACCTCTTTGCTGTGTTTGGCATTAAGGAAATAGTACAAGGCAAACTAGGTATCTAATGCTATGCTATACGGTGCAATTTACCAAAACTACTTTCCCTTATTCCTAGCCCAGCTAATGGAGGCCGCACATGCTTTGGACCAAGTTATGAGTTCCAGCTCTGCAGCACTCAGGATTGCCCTAAAGATTATGAAGATTTCAGAGAGGAGCAATGCCGGCAGTGGGATCCTTATTTTGAATATCAGAATACAAAACATCACTGGCTCCCATATGAGCATATTGATGGTTAGCTCTTCCTTCTTCTTTGTTTTATCATTCATTTAGTGGACTTAGTTGTAGTATATTGGCTTGCAGAGGACTGAAATTCAAATTCAAATAGCAAGGAGTTCTCAGATTATCTTGCTTCTCTGGAAAGGCTACTTGGGAAGATGGGAACATCAGTTACTAAGATGGGAAGTTCAGTTACTATTGTCTCCCCCTGCCTCACTGCTCCTTCCAAAAAGATCAAGAGGAGCGGCTTCAAGCTACATTCTTTATTATGTTAAACTGGGCATACTAGCCTGGCTTTGTGATAAAAAAGGAATATTGTAGAGGCTATTAGCAAAAGACAACCATCAAATTTAGGAAGCCAGCTAATTAAAGGGGTTAGTACTCATACCAAGAATTTGATTTCAAATGAATCGTTCTCCTCTCTTCCTAATCAAACAGAAATAGCTCCACCCTCTGGGGGAACCCTGCTTCTTGTGAGCCAGATGATGGGAATGCCAAATATTACTCGATTGGTCTGCTCTCTTGAGCTGGCATCAGATAATGAGGCTGATTATGTTACATCTCTCCTGTAGCCTTGCCTATTCTTCCCCAGAACGTCTGCTTGGTTTATCTCAGGGCATGCTGGCATTGGCTTTTCAGCTAAGAATTTCAACCCTGCCTCTTCTTCTAGTTTCAGATTCAGAGTCTAAGTTAACCATCTTGGAATACTGTATTTTGGGAGGCTCAGGCCAAGTCCCTACAACAATGCTCATTAATTACTTAGGACCTCTATTAATCAGCCATGTGTAAACTATTGCAATAGAAAACAAGAAACTTGGACAGATATTTAATTTGCTGGGTTGATCCAAAACAGAATACAAATAGTCCACCACCATCCCCACTGCACACACACACACACACACACACTCAAACACATATACAAGCTTCTTCATCCAGTTCTGCATGCAGGTCTAAATTCTCCCCTTAGTGAGTTGATTAGAACCTTTTTGCAAATCTGGACATTTTATATTTAATTACCATTTAGAAATGGAAAAAATAATAAGTGTAAGTTGAAAAGATAAGCCACAGAACTCTTTTTTCTTGTAGCTAAAGAAAGGTGCCACCTCTACTGTGAGTCCAAGGAAACAAGTGATGTTGTATATATGAAGAGACTGGTGCATGATGGAACACGGTGTTCGTATAAGGATTCTCATAGTATCTGCGTGCGAGGGGAGTGTCTGGTAGGTGGCATCAGTCTGAAGAGTTAAATTTTCTAGTGTCCCATTTCCAAGAACAAGTATAATGTTAAAATTACAATTGGATATTTTTCTCCATGGCTAATCCACAAATAATCACTTCTTAAAATATTTAGCACTGAAGCTTAGTAAAAAGAATCGACTATTTCATGGAGTGTTCTTTTACCAGGGCGTAGCTGAATAATTCTCAGCTTAAGTAAAATGGATTTGGCTTTGGATTGAGGCTAAAAATGTTAATACTATCAGGTATACCTACTTTCCCCAACCAGATGTGCACCAGGTATTTGGACTTCATCTCCCATCAGCCTCAGTGGCCAATGGTCAAGATGCTGGGAATTTTATCCAATACATCTGGAAGTTACCAGGTTGCAGAAGGCTGATATATGGCACTCTCAGTTTTCTGAGTGCTGCCCTTGTTTAACCTACTAGTTGAGAGAAACCTAAGGTACAAAACTGTGTTGCACATTTTAAAAAATCAGGAAATCAGGCAGGAAATAACCCAGAATTAGCCCTGTGAGAGTTCAGCATGCTTGCTAGCCATTGATCTTGACTGAGTGTTCTGGGAGGCATTTAATGGAAGCAGCAGAAATGGAGTGCCTGGATTGAGGAAGAGCAAAACTCCATGTCACACCTTTTTGTGGCAGGTTCCGCTTGTTTAAGGTATTATCAAATTCAGCAAAGCATGTGATACGTTTGATTCTGTTCAGGAAATCTTTCCAGTGACATTAGAGGAACATCAGATGCATCAGTCATATGTGGGGAGTCCATGATGCAGCTTCCTGGGATGGACAGTACTGACTAAGACTGAGCTGAGTTTCCAGCTGTTGCCATCTGCCCTAGGTTTCCAAAAGCAACACAGAAAAGGTGCAGACGTCAGCAATAATCCCATGCTCCTAAAATAAACTCAGATAGGAGTTGTAGCCCAGAAAAGCAACAATGCATGTGACTTAAAAATTATCATCATGTATGAGTTTGTTTATGCTGCTGTTCACCCTTTCTAACTTTAACTCTTGCTGATGTAAACAGTCCCAGGCATTCAGCTCTTCAGTTTTCCCTTTCCTTGAATAGGGCTTCATTGCCATGACATAAAACTTGAGGCTTAATTCTCTGGAGTTGACAGGGAGAGAAAAGTATACTGTTGTCCTCAATGTTATTCGCTCAGTAATGTTGCCCATTGGTCAAAGACAGCTGTGTATTGAATTATATACCTGCATAAATTCACATGCTATGTAGTAAAACATGGTATTTCCGAATAATGAAATGTTATCGAGTCACTGGTATAATGAATGAGTATCAGGGTCTAGTTAAGTCAGCAGTTACAAACACACGCATGAACACATGCACACATATATAAACCTCATGTGGATATCAACATGCCTTATTTGGTATTTCTGATATCCTGTGTTTACTGTCTTGATGCAATGGAAGTTCAAATGAATCCAGCTCTTCTGAGGAAGAATAACTTTGTTCCTTTTTTGCAGAAAGTTGGTTGCGACAAGGTAATAGGCTCTTCAAAGCAAGAGGATAAGTGTGGGGTGTGTGGTGGAGACAACACCCACTGCAAAGTGATGAAAGGCACTTTCTCCAAGATTCCAAAGAAACAAGGTGATTTCAGTTTCATGCTCCTGTTGCAGGATGACTCAGAAAGAAGTTTAAAAATTCTTTTAGCAATGCCTTTCCTACCAGATAGTTCTTTTGAACAACTTCTGGTGAAGGATAGTGGAGGTGATATGTTTTAGTATTCTAATTAAAATTACCAAAGATCAGTGGCTTGAAACTTTGTGGTGCTATTCTTTTTTTTGTCTCAAAAGCAGTTCCCATTCAGTTCTTTGGGGCTTATTTCCAGGTAAGCGGACTTAGAACTGCAGCCTCTGTTTGCCATAGGAGGCTTCTTCCTTCTTATTCTAGATCTAGAATAGGAGTGAGTTTTGTCCTGGGGATAAATTGGACCTGGGCAAGGACATCAAGGCCACAAGATAGCAGGAGGTTGCACCATTGTCCAAAGCCTCTCCAGCCACACTGGAGCACACCTCTTCCCTTTCCCAGCTCCTTGCCTGATCCACACTAATGAAGGGGAGAGCCTTTTCCTTTACAATGCTGAGAGATGCCCCACTTCTCAGTGCTGACCAGTAAAAAGGGACAAGAGACTGTCTCCCACCTGCAGCAGACCAGATGTGTGCCCTTCCCCCAGCCAGAAGCCTTTTCCCTGCCCAAGAGAAGTTCTGTCAGTGCAGAAGAAGTAGGATGGGTGTTCCATCAGCAACTGCTGCCTCAAGCAGTGGGACTTCATAGGTTAAAAGCAGCACCTTAAATTGGGCTTGGAAACATACAGACTTCCAGTGCAGAATTTTATACGTTTAGACCATCTGCTACCAGGTATTAATCTGACTGTATTTCCTGAGTATAATTTTGCATGTGAAATAAACTGAACCATGCCGCAGTACATGGTGTGCGAGGGTGTGCATTCCATCTTAACTGCAGAAAAATGTGATTGTTTTCCCCTCTTGACCATAAGCTTGCAGTCCTATGTGCACTTCCCTAGGAGGCAGGTTCCTTAAACTCAGAAGGGCTTATGACTAAACACTCTTCAGGTTGGTGTGTTTAGCCTTACTCGTAGAAATATTTTCTGCTTGGTGTGTGAAGGCAATGAAGCTGGATGTGCACATACCCCATTTTCCTTGATGCATTTGCTAAAATCATCTCTTTGATAGAATTGTAATGGTTCAGGAACCCACTGCTGTCTTCCTTTGTTTACATCAGTGATCTGTATCGGTTTTAATGCTGCTCTACAGGTTACATCAAGATGTTTGAAATCCCAGCAGGTGCAAGACACTTGCTCATACAAGAATCTGATCCCACTGTCCATAATCTTGGTGAGTACTACTTTACCAAACTACCTTCATGACTATATTATTTTAATTTGCTGAAAATGTTTTTGTAGTTTCCATTAAATGTGAGTTTTGTTCAAATGGGCTTCTCCATATGAATAAGATAAGACCATGTTAATAGAGCATTTGGCGGGGGCAGTCCTAAACCACAGATCCACTGGAGTGTTAGAATGTGGCTGGGCTGGTTATGCCATGCTGGCTGGAGATGGGAACTCTCAGCAGGAGGAGGGTTCTGCCAGAGCTGACCCCTGCATGCCCACAGTGCATTCTGAGGCTGCAGGTCTCCCACTGGTGGTGTTTTGGTGAACCCGAAGGGGGTGTTGCTGAGCTGTGGCAGACATGGCGTTGCTCTTTTGTTTGCTAGATAGGACTCAAGGTCCGTTTTCTCTCTATAACCCTGCCACTTTCATAATTAAGACTCCCCTCTACCCTACTGTACTCTCACTGTAACCACAGAGAAGAACAAAAAGGAAGTTTATCCCTGCTCTCTCAGGAAAATCTAATTTTAAACATGATGCTTTTGATTCTGAAAATAATTGTGTAGATAATCATTTACTTAGAACCCCCCCACACCCCACACACACATGCCTTACAGTAGCTGATGGATTGTCTACTAATACACAGACACTCAGAGCTCTGGTTAGGATTGTACTGCAAATCCAAAGTGAAGCAGCAACAAGAAAGAGCTGGGGAAAAGGTCATGTGGGGAAAGGACTGGGTAGAGAGTCACAGGAAAATAATCGTATGTCACTGTGGACCAAACTCAATAAAAGGACCATGAATTCCTAACTCAATTATTAACTGCAAGTTACTATTTTAAAAAGCCAACAATCAAAACCAAAATTATATTATTAGCTAACCTAGATTATGTGGTCCAAATAAAATATATGGAATAAATCCCTTTTCAGGAGTAAATATAACTTTAATTTAAAAGATCTTTGGTTTGTCTTTCATGTCCTTTTAGATTGTAAGCTAAAAACAGAGTTTTTGTTTAACTGATTGTAAGTAAGCTGTTCTGGGGCTCTTTTTGCTGAGTGAGATTAAAATATTTTAAATGAATAAAGCCTAAATTTGAAGAATTCTACCTTAGATACTAGATTCTGTAACTGGGATCCGCACTGAACCATATTCTGGACTGCACAATACAGACCTTTAAACTGTAAACCAGCACCTGTCCTTTCAAATGGATATGCACAACTTCCAAAGTCCTCCTGCTTTCAAAAGCCATTCCCCTTATCGTTTATTTGATGGGCTGGTAGACATCCGTACTGGATGTAACCAGTCATGTTGTGCACACTCTTTGCAGGTGTGGCTGCTGCGTGCTGGGCATTGTAGGCCTTTTCTCCATCTCAATATGTACAGAATTGTGCCCTTCTTGTTTGTTGTAGAGCATTCAGTCTCCATTCAATGAACACACCAGTTGTGCATACATTTCCAACCGCTAGCATCCTGCTCCTTTCCGGATTCTAAGCAACCCATAGCAAGGATGTTCAAACTTTCACAAAGTTGAATCAGTAATTGAAATCATCTCCTTACATATCAATAAGAGACAATGTATTGTAGACTGTTATTCATTAGAATTAAATTCACATTAAATAGCCTAGTAAGGCTGCTTTGAGTTACACACGTTTTGCATCAGTAACTACTTCCCCTCAACTGCTGTTCTGTGTAGCCTTATGGGATGAATAGTGCTCTTTGCACAGATGTCTTCCTTATGTTCGGCAAACTGTTTCTGAAGATGTGTGAACAAGATAGAAACCTTTGGTTTTGTTAGACCAATAAATGTATTGATGCTGACAGTACTTCAGAAATGAATGACACATGCAAGAAGAGAAGCATTTGCCAGAGCAACACAGAAAACAGGCCACAAGTGGGTGCAGCTGATTTGTTTGGAAATATTATTTTAAACTTAGAAACAGGAAGATGCAAAGGCTCTCAGAGTGTAATCCAGGGCAAGCTTAGATAGAGCAAAGGACTGCATTTCCCAGCTGGCTGGGAGTTGTAGGCCTTTTTCCTGTCTTAACATTATTCTTATTCATTGCATTTATATCTTGCCCTTTTTCCTTTATGAGGAATCCACGATGGATTACAGAGTCTTTTGAACACACCATTTTATCCTCACAATAGCAACCCTGTGAATTAGGATAGGCTGAGAGTGAGTGACTGGCCCAAAGTCACCAGTAAGCTTCATGGCCAAGTGGGGACTAGAAACTGGAACTTCTGTGCTGCTTTCTATGCATAGGAATGTGCCTCTAATTGCAGAAACTGGCCAGGGGCTTCTGTAGTACCAAGGTCAGAAGCAAAAGCGACTGTATTTGAAGTATAGGAATGAGAGGATGAACGTGTAGAATCCTCAAGTTCAAAGGGGGCTCATCTAATCCAGTCATCTGCATAGTAGAAAGATTTGCTGTACTTAATATCTCTGTCAGATTTTTAAGTGAAGGAGATACCCTTCATTTCATTTGCCGTCTAGTTTCTTAAGATTCTCAAACATTTTACACTTAACTAACCAGATAGTAACTGAGGTCTACACAACTTGGGCCTACACAAATACAGTTGTCCAGCAATGCATGGGGGCTCTGGGGAACTCTGGGTACCTGGGATAGCTAAAGCAGGTGTGTGTATTGGAGGGGGTGAAGAAGCAGGTTCGTCAACCAGCCAGCAGACCTGCTGAGTTGTCTTTGATTTGGTCAATCACAAGGAAAGCAGTCCTGCCTTGCATTCTTTCAACTTTAATCCATTTACCCCGAAAGGCTAAGCAGGTCTCTCATGGATAGGACATTCTGGAGAGCTTTCATTCATAGGGTCACCTTGAATAGGTTGGAGATGAATTGATGGCATATAAAAACAAGGACACCCTAATCTGAGCAGAGAAATAGCAGGAACATTTGGAAAAGCACCATCTAAAGGGGCTTTCCTATATGAATGGAGTGGAGAGAAAAGCTAGATATGCAGAAATGGAATGTATGTAGAGAACTGTTCAATGCTTTGATGTCATGTGGGAAGCCCACCTGCATAAACTGTTTGGCCTTGAGAAAGCAGGCAGAGATCCAAAACAGAAGCATTTTTGTTGTCTTGTTCATCACGGCTGTAATGCACACTTTTGCAAGACCATCCCTCACAAGGAAGAATGTCATCACTCATGCCTAAATATTTGACCGGATTAGAAGTTATTTCACATCGTGCAGCTTTTTAAATACTTTCATCTTCCTGTTTCATTGCAAACTTTAATATAATTTTCATTTTCTTCTTATTGATCTTACAGCCTGCATAACATCCAAAATTTTCAATTTGATGTATTATATACTGTATAGATTGCTGTGAATTTAAATGGTCGAGACTACATCATCAGCATAGTATTTGTATTCTTCTCCATCTACTTTTACAACTTTAATTTTTGGGTCTTGTCTTATTTTTATTGCTGACATTTCCAATACAAGAATAAATAAAAGAGATGATAAAGGGCATCCTTTCCTTTTCCATTTAGAAGCTGCCAGTTAGCACTGCATTAATTCTCCGTTAATACCACTCCATTAATTCTGGATATCTTGAAGGAGTGCCTCCTTCCCTATGTGCCTGCCTGCCCCTTAAGAACTGGGTAGGAGGCCTTTCTCGGGGAGCCCTCGGTGAAAGAGATTAGGAGGGTGTCTACCTGGAGAAGGGCCTTCTCTGTGGTGGCACCCCAGTTGTGGAATATGTTCCCAAGAGAGTTTCTCCTGGCACTGCCACTTTATTCTTTTCTGCACCAGGCCAACCCCTTTTTATTTTACCAATACTTTAAGGTTTAGATTGAGATTTTAAGTAGGTTTTTATTGTATGGAATGGATGCTATACTCCACTTTGTTTTATTGTAAGACCTCTCCCAAGACCATTTGGTAGTGGACGGTATACAAAAGTTGTACATTAATAAATAAAATCTTAGCATGTAGTTTACTATAAATTGCTTGGATCCAATTCATAAAACTTGAAACACACTCTAAATACTGAAGAGTTTTCAAGGGATAGAAAGCCCTTATGAAGTTCCACTAGGACTTCAATAACTTTCAGTCCGTCATCAACCTTGACCAGTTCAAACAACAGGTTCACTTTCTAGACACAACTGTGGAATTATATAATGGATATATAAGCATGATTTTATATAGGAAACTAGTGACCGGTACACATACTGACATTCCAGCTTCCACCCAGAACATACCAAAAGATCTATTGTCTACAGTCAAGTGCTACAATACAACTGTACAGATTCCTTCTGGATCTTGTCAGACCATGGCCATCTTCATATGATTACCATGGGTGAAATCATGGAGACTTATTTTCCTGACCACGCATGTCGGTATTTATTTATTTATTTATTTATTTATTTATTTAGAGTTTTTGTATGCCGTCCCATCACTTATAGCCTCGGGACGGCTCACATGAATAAATAAACATGATACAAAATATAATTAAAATCCAGAAAGCTTGCCCAGAGATTGCAGTAATTACCCTTGGCAGTGCAGTTTCCCATGCGGCTTGAACCCAGCCAGGGTGCTTGTTGCTGCAGTTAGCAAGCAACTCCACAATTTATAAACAGCCCATGCGTTCTTTGTGGCTTGCTAATTCCCTGGGCAAGCATCTGGCACAGTTGGAGAGGATGATAAACCGCTATGGCTTGTTAACTGCTCCTGAATCATGTGAACTTGGTCAATGGTTCAGGACTATCACAGTCTCTTTGACACCAGTTGAAAAAGAAAGATGGAGTTGGATCTTATCAGCATGGTATAAGACTCAGTTCTTAAACTCAGTATGCCCTCCCTGAGTGATTCTCATGTAGACAGTGAACTGCATCAGGGACAAAACAGGCCGGTAACGACAGGATGGACCTCCTCGGGTAACTTAGTGTGTCAGAGAAACAGGTAGCACTAGAACAAAATTCATCAATACAGTGAACGCTAGAACAGCATACAGTACAGTGATAAACAGTTAATAAAACAGACAAAACAATAAAATAACAGATAAACTATCCCATGAATATCTGAAAGGATCTCTCCATCCATATGAGCTACCCATACCCTGAGATTATCTTCAGAGGTCCTGCTCCGGGAGCTGTCTCTAAGGGACGCTAGGAGGATGGCTACTCAGGGCAGGGCCTTCTCAGTTGTGGTGTTCCATCTGTGGAATCAACTTCCCAGAGATACTCATCAAGCACCTTCCTTGTACATATTCTGGCAGCAGATTAAGACATTTTATTCAGGGAACATTTTAATTGTTGATTATTTTAGTTGGAATTTAATGTTAATTATATTTCAATTTTATTTTTCTTAATTATGACATTTAAGAGAATTCCAATAGTTGTTAAACTATTATTTGGTATTCCTGCTATGATGTTATGTTATTTAGTATTGATACTGTGATTTTAATTGTGTTACTTGTGTTATTTATGATGTTTTATGTGATTGGTTTTTTAGTCTGTAAACTGTCTAGAGAGTCATATGGCTACAAGATGGTATACAAAAGTGCTAACGAGCAAATCAATAAATAAAATGATAAAATATAACCACACACAGCATGATAAATACAACCAATAAATTAACAACCAAAATTAAATAAGAAATCTCTAACAAAATATAAATGTATTAATTAAATTAACCAAAACTTGTTGGAATAAAAAAGTTTTCACTTGGCACCTAAAAGAAAGAAACAGTTGGCGCCGGCTGTATATTTTTATTGTTACAGGCTTTTTTTAAATAAATGTGAGTTATGTTGTGTATTGTATTATTTTATGCTGTTTGTCGACTTTATAATGATATAAGCTGCCCACTAGTGGGATAGCATATATAGAGAATAAATACGTATCTCTGATTGGGCATCCATACCTGTGGAACTATCTCCTCAGGGCCTGGGTTGGGACTAGATTTGTTTCTACATGGGACTCCATGCCCAGACTGAACAAAACCACTAACGGGCATGACTGAAGCAAAGCACAGCTGTGGTCAAAGCAACATTCTCTCCCCATTCCTGGCAGTAAATATTCACTCGCAACAAATAAAATAATGAAAAGTTTGCTGCTCCTGCACACCTGCCTCACTCTGTCTAATGACTGGCTCTAATGTGGCTTTAGGCATACACCCCTTGTTACTTATTTCTTTCTTTATTAATTATGGATTTGGGGTTTTAATTAGTAATGTATCTGGTTTCTTTTTATGGTAATTGTACTTTATGTTCTGACTACATTGCTTATGAAAACCGTCCTGCTGATTATAGGAAGTATGCAAGTTCTTTGCACAAAGTAAGCAGACAGGACTATGACTAAAACCTTTTAGTCTCTTTCCTTCTCCAGAAAATTGAAAATAACAAAAATAAATTGAAAGTTCCTAAGAAGTTAACATTTTTCATGCTGTTTCTAGCAATTAAGAACAGAGAAACTGGGAAATTTATCTTAAATGAGAATAATTATGTGCCAAATTCCAAAATATTTGTCAACATGGGTGTGGAGTGGGAGTATCGGAATGATGATGACCGGGAAATGGTGCAAACAATGGGTCCTTTGCGAAATGGAATCACTATCCTGGTAAGTCACTGGAGGATGAGTCAGTGTTATACTGAGTCTGCATTTATGGCTTGCATCTGTTGTTAAGACATCTGCTCTACCAATCAAGGTCATGGTGAATTCTTTCTCCCCAACTTTACATGTTGCCACTGCAGATTGTAAGGGCCGCAAGGATGCATGCTGAAAAAGACAGCCAAGCAAGGAGCTGAATGACTGAGGGAGGGTGCACTCGGGTGGGAGGGAAAGATCAACAGAATGGCAAGGAGCGGAAGCATTTGCCAGGGAGATAATGCCTGAGGAAAGACTGGAGAGTGATGCAAGCAAAGCCAGAGCCTGGGCATTGCCAGGAAAAGAACCAGAACTGCTCTGAAAGTATGTCCAACCAGGTCAGATGAGGTAAAAACAGCAGGCTGCCTGAAGTAGGAAGCCAGAGCAACAGTGGCATCTGGCAGAACAAAAGCTTCCCTTACTTCTCTACACAGAGGCTCGCCTGGTGCCTATCTTGTTGTACTTTAAACACAAGGAAAACATATTTTTAAAAGTTCCCCAGGATTTTTGATATGATTTTAATCTTGCCAACTTTTATGCTGCTTTTGTGTTTTTTCTTTCATTTTGTGTGGACATTTTTATTGGTTTTTTTTTTTTTTACTGCAAAAACCACCCTGGAAATGTGATTGATGAGAGGTGCAAAAATAAAGACAATGCATGAATATTCTACAAATCTGGGTGGTTTGTTGCAAGGATTGCTAGCGACTAGGTGACCCTTGCTTCTAATTTGGCCATCCTTGTAATATGCCACTTCCATAATCTGCCCACAGTAAGATAAGGGTATATGGGATGAGCACAGGTCCCAGTTTTATTAAAAAGTGTACACTTCACATTGCTGCACAACCTGAGTATTAATTCTACATGCAGACTGGGAAAAAAGAATACTCTTGCTCTCCAAGAGGTATTTCTTCATTGATGCATATGAAATTATACATTTCACAGAACTAATGAAATTACTGTCATGGAACATTATTAAATTAACCCTAAATCATCACCAGTTTGGTGTGTATACTACTTCCCTTCTGCAAGTATCATTCCTCAAAGAGGTGAGAGGAATGGCAAATAGACGAAGGGCCTTCTGGGTGGCTGCTCCCTGCCTTTGGAATAGTCTCCCTAGGGATGTCCGCCTGGCACCATCTCTGCTATTGTTTCAGTGCCAGGCTAAAATGCTCAGTATCTTTTTTAAGTAATTGATCCTGCCATCCTTTTCACTGCTTGCTTGGTTGTTGTTATTGTAAAGTTTTACATTTTGATAATGAAGTTTTTTATTCTTTATTTATTGTTATAGGTACTTTTTCTTGTAATCTGCCTTGAGCCTTCGGGAGTAGCCAGTACAGAAATGGAAATATAAATAAATAAATATGACCTTTGTAATTAATTTGTCAACCCAGGGAGCCTTATGGCTAATGGAGTGGGATAAAAATCTAATACAAAAATCATTAGCTCCTTGATTGATTTTAATAGATCTTATTCTCAACATTTGGAAAATTAGGAAAATCAAAGTGTGAGGGTGCAATCCTACACGTTTAGACAGAAAAAGTTCCAACATGGCTCAGCTAGCTATGTTTATTCTCTCTAAGCATGCTTAGAATTGCACCTTTAGTCTAGCATTTATTTTTTATTTATGGTGCAATGCTATGCATATTAGGCAGAGAAAAAGCTTAGCATGCCCCAACTAGCCTAGGTATGCATAGGATTATGCCTTTACTATATTATTGTTTAGACTAACCTTCATCAAAAGATACCAGGAATCCATAAGATTCTTCAGATGTTCATATAATTATAAAATATAGAAAATCAGTAGAAATATAATTGCAAAACAAATTAAGGATACAGTCCTATGCACACTTTCCATAGAATGTTACATTGATAACAGAGAACTTTTAAAAAAATTTTTTTAGTAATGGTGCATAGGAATGCAGTGTAAAACACAGACAAAAATAACAAGATTCTAACATCTTTGTCCTAATTATTGTGCTTTTAAAATGTTTTAAAATGTGTTTATGATATTCAGAAGGATCTTGCTACAAATATATGCATTATTTGTCTTAGGCAATTCCTCATGGCAATACCAAGATTTCACTGACATACAAGTACATGATCCATGAAGATTCCTTAAATGTGGATAACAACAATGTTTTGGAAGATTCAGTAACATTCGAGTGGGCTTTGAAAAAATGGACTCCATGCTCAAAACCCTGTGGTGGAGGTAAAGAATGATGATTCTGTATACGTTTCTGAATGACAGAAGCTTTGTGATTAATTATGCTCACACATGCACCCAGCATTTAAACACAAACAACTGAATGCGTGAAAGGACTTTGTTGAAAAGTATGGAGTTTGGGGTGGTATTATCTTTGGTATTAAGTCTTTGATTCACTGAGTCTTCAGTCACCTGTGATGAATTTGCATTTGTTGAGCCTAAGCAAATTGGAACCATTTCTTTAAAATTATGAGATATCGCCATCATCACTTATATTGTAAGAGGAAACACTATGTGAATATTCATAGCATGACAAATTGAGGCTAGAGGAAAACATCCGCTCTGCAGGTTATTTATTGCCGCCCATTGTTCATAAGATATTGTGCATCTTGAAAATAGATAGCAGATAAAATGTATTGGGACAGGTTCCACTCAGAAACCAAGATTAAATAAATGAATGAGTGCTGATAAAATGCTGAGTATAAGAAATTGCACCAGAGTCCATATTGTAGCCCACTGTGGACTGAACATGTAAATACTGCTAGCGTGCCATCTGCTTCTGGACAATGCAGTTAGGCCAGGGTATGTTCAATCATTTCCTGGCTTCTAGGATTCTGCTTGTTGTGTGATTCCGAGTCATTTAGTCTTCCCTTGTTCTTCCCCAGCACACTGCAGTTCCCCACACATAAGGTACAAAACAACAAATCCACTGCAAGTTCTTGCATTTGTAGCCTGTGGGAGCATAGCATGCTCTCATCGAAGTCAGCGTCACAACCCAGCTGGGGTTATCTGAAGGTGCTAGTTATATGAACTGAGACTTGCAGTCTATGGTATTGTGACAACTGTGAAATGGGTCTGCCATTTTAGAAGATGGTGCCTCCACGTGATCCCTGCCAGACCAGCCACAGTGACACAGACCCCAGTAACCTGTAGTAGTAGAGCAGCATGCAGCAGCTCAACTGCTGTTAGACTCTGCCCCGTTTGAACCTGTGGCTGCTTTGCTGGAGGAACTGCAATGGCTGCCTGTTTGCTACTGGGCCCGGTTTAAGATCCTGATATGACTGTACATAGCCCTAAACAATTGGTACCAGGATACCTGAGCAGTTTGCTTGGTCATTGGAAGGTATTTTCTTGGTGGTTCCACACAGACCCCTGGCCTGACTGAATTCCCCCAGAAGAGCCTCCATTGTGGTGGCCCCACTTCTGTGGAACTCCCTGCCTCTGGAGGCCAGGGCAGCTCTAATAGCATTGTTTTCAGCACCTGCTAAAGTCATCTTTGTTTTGGTAAGGCTTCCTTGCTGACCAGCCACAGTTTTAATAGTATCTTGCTTTTAATGCAGTGTTTTTATTCTTCTATCTTTTTACTGTTCGGCAATCTGGAATCTGTCTAGATATGGAACAGTGTTGACATTTTCTAAGAGTGAGAAATAAATGAATCACAAACCCACTAGTAGTTCCACACACTCCCATGGGTGATCTTAAAGAATGGCATCTAAACCAGTCCTCCCTGACTCTTTTTGACTATAGTTCAAAAAAGGTTTCAAGGCTTTTTTTAATTTGAGGTGGGGGCAGGGAGTACAGCTTGAGTTACCTGGAAATCATTTTAACATGTTGTAGATAAAAGTAGTTTCTCCTTCCCTCCCTCCCCCTTTCTCTCAATTAAGGTTATCAGTTTACAAAATATGGTTGCCGGAGGAAGACTGACCACAAGATGGTTCATCGCAGTTACTGTGACTCCATCCAAAAGCCAAAGCCCATTCGCAGAGTGTGCAATCTCCAGGAATGCTCCCAACCAATGTAAGCATTTCTCTCTGCTGGAATAACTAATTGTGCTGTTGCATGATAATCAGCTGAATCAGAAGTGCCCTGAGCTAGCCTCCAATGACTCCACCTTTGTTCCCTCCCTTTCTGGCTTCTTTGCGTGAGGACTGCTCTATAACCATACTTTTTAGCCCCATTGCCAAATCAGAAGTTATGCAACTATGTGATGGAATTGCCAGAATTTTGCTTGTTGCAGGAGCTGTCTTTCAACTAATCATTCCAAAATAGATTTTGATGTGGGGGGAAATACTAATAATGATTTCAATTTAATGCATATATACTCATGTGTCTGTATCTTTAGTCAATCAGGACAAAAATAGATGTGCATTTTAGGACATGTGCTTTTTAAATACATAAAGATATTTATAGGCTGTTACTGAAGAATATGACTTACAACCCAACCACCAATAAAACTCACAGTCTAGCTTTTAATGATGTAGATTTGTTGGATAGTGGATGGGAAATGCTCACAAAAGTCACTTTCTGGTTAAGTATTTATGGCATTTTCCATTTGCATGATTCTTCTTGCTATAGAAACATAGAAAACAGCGCGAGTCAGAAGGGGCCTCCCAGGCCATCTAGTCTGACCTCTGGCACCAGCTGGCTCCACTCACGACATGCCCACCATGTGGACGTCCAGCCTATCCTTGAACACCCACACCGATGGGGCCTCAACAACCTCTCGTGGAAGCCCATTCCACGCCCTCGGGGTCCTGACTGTCAGGCAGTGCTTCCTGGCATCCAAACAGAACCTTGGCTCCCTGAGCTTGGCTCCATTGGAGCGCATCCTGCCTTCCTCTGCAGTGGAGAACAGGTCTCTACCCATCTCCATGTGACATCCCCTCACATACCTGTATGTCGCCAACATATCCCCTCTGAGTCTCCTCTTCTCCAGGCTGAAGAGACACAGTTCCCTCAGTCTGGCCTCATACAGCATCCCCTGCAGACCGGCCAACAACCTTGTGGCCCTACGCTGCACTGACTCCAACCTGACTATATCCTTTCTGTAATGAGGGGCCCCAAACTGAACACAATACTCCAGTTGCGGGCGCACTAGAGTCATGTAGAGTGGTAGTAATACCTCTCTTGATCTAGAAGCCACACTTCTGGCTATGCAACCAAGGGTGGCATTCGCCCTCTTGACCACCGCATCACACTGCTGACTCATGTTTAGCCTGCAGTCAACCAGTACCCCAAGGTCCCTTTCACAAGTGCTGCTCTCCAGCCACTTCTCACCTAACCTGTACTTATGACAGCTATTCCTATGCCCCAAGTGCAAGACCTTGCACTTATCCACATTGAACGCCATCCTGTTGTCTCCTGCCCACTTCCATAGTCTGTCCAGATCCTTTTGGATCTGGAGTACCTGCTCCTCAGTTGTGGCCACTGCTCCAGTTTTAGTGTTGTCAGCGAATTTGATCAGCAGACTGTTCATCCCTTCTTCCATGTCGTTAATGAAAAGATTAAACAGGATCGGCCCCAGGACAGAGCCCTGGGGGACCCCACTTGTCACTGGCCATCATCCCGATGATTCCCCATTAATGGTTATCTTCTGCTTTCGGTCAGTCAACCATGCCCTAATCCACCGGACAGTGCTTTGGTGTATCCCAAAACTCCTCAGTTTCTCCACCAGGATATCATGGGGCACTTTGTCAAAGGCCTTGCTGAAATCCAGGTATACCACATCCACTGCATCCCCTCCATCTAGCCATCGCAAAACCTTGTCATAGAATTCCACAAGGTTTGTCTGGCAGGACCTGTTTTTGCGAAAGCTGTGTTGTGTGGCTGTCAGCCTCCCTTCCCTATCTAGCATCACTAGATCTCTCTCTATTATGAGCCTTTCCATTGTTTTTCCTACAATGGACGTAAGGCTAACCGGTCTATAATTCCCCATGTCCTTTCTACTACCCTTTTTGAAAATTGGGACCACTGATGCCACCCTCCAGTCCTCTGGAACTTCACCCGTTCTCCACGAGGTCTCAAAAATGGAGGGCAGCAGGCATGAGAGAACCCCTGCCAACTCTCTAAGGACTCTTGGGTGTAACCCATCAGGGCCTGGTGCCTTTGTAATGTCCAATGCCCTGAGGAGCCCCTCAACTTCAAGGGGGGTGACTCTAATCTGTGCCCCTAAGTCCCCAGCCTCATCTAATCTCCTATGCGTGTATCCCCCGTCCTGCTTTGGGGAGAACACAGAGGCAAAATAGTCATTTAGCATCTGTGCCTGTTCCCTCATATCAGTCACTGGATCTCCTTCCTCCTTATTTAGTGGTGCCACCACTTGTCTCCCCTTCCTCTTCCTATTTACATGCTGAAATAAGCCCTTTTTATTGCTCTTGATATTCTTGGAAAGTCTCAGCTTATAATCAGCCTTAGCCTTGCGAAGAATCCTTCTGCAATGGGCCTCCTCCTCCCGGTATACCCTTTTGTCTATTTCCCCCAGTACCCATTTCCTACAGAGGTTCCTCTTTCGTCTAATCCCTCTAACCACCTCCTTTTGCATCCATGGCGGCACTCTCCTCCGCCTCCCCACCTTACTGACTAGAGGTATCGTCAAGGCTTGCACCTCCAAAACCTCCCTTTTGAGTGCTATCCACCGCTCCTCAACTCGCTTACCTTCCAGTAACGTATCCCAGGAGACTTTCCCCAGTCTGGCCTTCAGTTGGCCAAAGTTGGCCCTCTTGAAGTCCCAGCTTCTGGTGCTTGACCTGCTGCCTGTCCGCAGTCCCCTGATCTCAAAGCAAAGGATGGAGTGATCACTTGCATCCATAGCTCCCCTAATCTGTACTTCATCTATCAGCTCCTCCCTATTGGTCAAGACCAAGTCAAGGATGTTTCTCCTCCTCGTTGCCTCTCGGACCCTCTGTGTGAAAAACACTCCCTCGATAGCTTCTAGGAAGCGACATGACCTGGCTGTCACCGATGAGTGAGTCTCCCAAGTAATATCCGGGAGATTGAAATCTCCCATAATTACTGTCTCTCTCCCCCGAGATATCCTTAGAATTTGGCCTGTCAGGACATCATCCAGGGTTTCAAGTTGACCTGGAGGGCGATAACATACCCCCACTGTCAGGTCTCTTTCCCTGTCAAAACCCCTAAGTTTCACCCAGACTGCCTCTACCAAATCCCCATCTGTGCTGCATTCTATCTCACTGCATCCAATCCTTTCCCTGACGTATAAAGCCACGCCCCCACCCCTCTTTCCCTTCCTGTCCTTTCTAAAAAGGTGATACCCTTCTATGTTCACATTCCAGACTTGCCTTTCATCCCACCAAGTTTCTGTGATTCCCACCAGGTCATACCCTCCTGTTCCCAGGAGAGCCTCAAGCTCTTCCTGCTTATTACCCATGCTCCTAGCATAGGTGTACATGCACCTCAACTCCTTCCCACTGCTTTCTTTCCTTGGAGTTCCCAGCCTCCTCCTTCCTCCCATCCTCCCTAATACCTGGCCCCTCTCTGTAGGAGTCCTGTCAGTCCCTGCAGTATCTCTAAAACCCTGCTCCCAGAGCCCTGATCCTTCCCCCACACTTGTTCAGTGCAGACACATTCCCGGGGGGCCTCCCCCGGCTCAGTTTAAAGTCTTCCGGACGAAGCTCGCTAGAGCATCTCCAAAGGACCTTTTCCCCATCCTCATGAAGTGTAACCCGTCCCTTGCCAGAAGTCCATTGGCAAGAAAACGAGTGCCGTGGTCGAGGAACCCGAAGCGTTCCTTCTGGCACCACACCCTAAGCCAGTTGTTCACCTCGGGGGCCCTCCTGTCCCTTCCTGGCCCAAATCCCCGGACAGGTAAGATTGACGAGAAGGCCACTTGGGTCTTCAGCTCCCTGAGTTTCTTCCCCAAGGCCTCAAAGTTCCTGGTGGTCCCAACCACACCCTGCCTGGCCACATCGTTCGTGCCCACATGGATCACCAGGAGCGGCTGGTGACCCCCAGAGCGAACAAGATGCTCCACTCTGCCCTTCACATGCCAGATGCGTGCGCCCAGCAGGCAGCAAACCTCCCTTGTCTCCAGGTTGGGGTGGTACACCGCCGGCTCAGTGCCCCTCAGCAGGGAGTCCCCAACAACAATCACCCGCCGCCATACCTTTCCGGTGCTGGTGGGTGGCTGTGCCCTGGCCCTCACCTCTCCTGCAGCGACCCCCTTGCCGCCTGACGTCTCAGGCTGGGGGTCCTGCTGGTCCCCTGAGGCCTCATCAGCCCCAGCCTCCCCAAGTGGAGAGAACCTGTTTCCCAGCTCCAGATTGGTGCCAGGAGAAGGAGGAGGCTGTGCTGACCTCCTCCTCGTGTGGGTGACATACCTCCATGTCTCCACAGCTGCTCCTCCCGTGGCCTCTCCCTCAACCCTCTGTCCAGAGGGGGGCTGCTCTGGGGGGGCCTGGAGAGCTCTCTTGACCCTCAGGCACCTCACCTCCTCTTCTAGCAGGGTCACCATTTTGCACCGAGGGCAAGTGTATCCCTGCCTCTCCTGGGGGAGAAGGGCAAACATGTTGCAGCTCTCGCAGTGGACAGCAACACCCTTGACTCCCGCCAAGGACATCTCCTGGTCTGCCATCAGTATCCCTTCCGAGACCTTACCTTGGTCCCCTGCCTTGTTAGTCCTGCAGTTCCTCTCACTCACCCAATTCTCCCAGACGAAAACCCACTCGCACACACACACACACACAAGGACAAAATAAACTTAAATTTAAATTGGAAGAAAAACAAAGCACAGCACAAACCAAACAAACAATCAAACCCCTGTGTCTCAGGGAAGGGAGTCTCCGGACAGGCCGGGCCGTAGCCAAGGGACGACGCCCCACCCTCTGCTCCCTCCTGGCCCCTCTGGCCCCGCCCCCTTCCTCTCCGCTGCTCCTGGCCCTCTGCTCCGCTGCCCAGCTCCTCCCTTGCCTTCGCCAGTCCCCTGGTCACTCCGCACGCTCTCCCAGCCTCTGCCTCTGCTGCTCTGCCAAGAGGCCAGAGCCAAAAGGGCTTGCAGTGGCTGAGTGAGGCCTTATCCTATAGAAAGATAGAGAAAAGGATAGATATTTATGCTTCATTATGAGTCTTAGGAGAGATGTAAATGTAGAGCCTATTCCTTTTGTCTCAATCCAGAGAGACAATTTAGGAGAGCATGGGCAGAATGATCACTTGTTGGATTCAAAAGAGCCAGCCTAATGCCAGTGCATTTTCATGTGTGGATTCAAGTGCGCACTGCAGTGACAATGCACCCCATCTGCACGTCATTGTTCTGATCTGGTAGCACTTTCCAGTGTGCCTTTGCATGTTCCATGCGACTGCTGAGGCAGTGCCCCTTGCTCTGAAACACCACCTGGAGTGGGAGGCTTGCCCCCTAATGTAATCCAGCCACCGAGAGCTGTCCCAGGAGACCCTCTGGCCTTCTCAGCACATCCAGTCCGCCACCCAAGCTGTAGGGTGAAACCTATGCATTTCCTACATGGGTCATCACAATAAGAGGGTAGACTGATTAAGGGAATTATATTTCTGTCTTCTGGGTTTAAAAGTGAGTGGCTAATCCAGCCCAGAAGTTAGCAATGTTTGAGTCTGAATATTGGCATTCAGAATTGCCACCTCCTATCTCAACAAGCATTCTCTGTGTAGCAACACAGTGCATGAAGCTCCCGCTAAGCATATTGAAAATGGTTAGCGTGCATCCTGTAAGACAGCCTTCCCCAACCAGTTGTTTACAGATGTCTGGGGCTACAACTTCTCACAGCCAGCATGCACAATAGTCTGGATGATGAGAATTGCAGTGCAAACATGACTGGAGCACACCAGGTTGCGGAAGGCTTCTGCAAAACTTTAAATGTCTTCTTTCATCAAACTGTCTATTTATTTATGGAAAATGTAAGTGCAGAGGTTAGTATTCCATTCGTTAGCATATGATGGAAAAGATATAGAAGTGCTTTAGCATGGTGCCTGAGTAAAACAGATATATTACTTTGAAAGCTTTATAAGGGCAGGACAAACTGCTTGGCTGTGGCCTTCATAATTTTTCATGTGGTTCTTAGTTGATGGCTGAATTGTTGGAAAATCTGTAGCAGCAAATTCATCTCGAAGAATTATGCTGATACGGTGCCAGTGTCTGCTGAGAACACTTGTTTTAGTGCTTTATCCCTCTGCTGGTTTCCACATGAATTATTTAGAACATTACAAATAGTTGTTGTTTGAAGGCAGGAAGGAAATTCTTTTCCTGTAAATCCAACCTATTTTAAAAAAAATACTCTGGGAAAGATCTAACAGAATAATTCAGGTAACGATTGGGGTATGAAATATGATTTCAAATCTTTTGTGCTTCCACAGTATCTACTGTGGATGGTCTCTTAGATAAAAAATGGTTGTTGGTTTTGTCATTGCTGTGGTTGCTGTGGAGTGACTTGAAGACACTTGCAAACTGGCTGAATCACCAGGTGCTGCTTTCATGCTGAAGTGTTTCCCATCCAGACTGTGGTTTAAATATTGCAATATGTTGAGGATAATCAGTGAGATCCTAGCCTAGCACAAAATGCCTTTTTCTCTCTCCAAGTGTTGTAACTCAACAGCTTGTCCACATTTAATACATTGTATTGATGAAGAATAATTAAAAATAAATTCAGAGCCAGAAAATTCATCTTTCAGATAATAAAAAATTGAGGGTTATAATCCCACAAGAGCACATTCCTAGAAAGTTCTACTGACTTTTGATTTTCTTATTTATTTATTTTTTTGTATCCCATCCTTTACCATTTTTTCCACCCCATCCTGAGCAATCCAGACTTTCACCTCTGGAGAGACAAATAACTGGGTCATGGCCATATGAAAACACTTTAGACCAGCAGCCATGTCAAAGCTTACTTCTGTAAGCTTCCTGATTATCCCAAGGCACATCATATGTTTCCATGGTCAATAACCAAGATCTAATACAATCACGTGTGCCCCAGTCCTTCAGAATGGAGCATACATCTAGGTGCAAGTAATCTATCACTCCAAATGCTTATTGTTAGCCTTTGGACTATTTAAAGTTATGAGCTGTAAACTGTTTAGCATGCATTGGTGTGCCCTCTGTATCAGTCCAAGAACTGCAAAAACAGGGAGAAGAATCCCTGTTTTCAGAAAATGCAAGTGTTTGATGCAGTGAAGTCAATTGTGGAAAATCTTCACACAGAAATAATTTTTCTGGTGAAAATTTTTAGGTATCTTAAGGGTGTTTTACACATTGAGCATCCTATGCAACTGACATGGTAGGATGTGTGTATTTCGTGTGTATTTTGTACAAATGAAAAAATGTCCTGAAACTGGGAAGGTAAGTGTTATCAACATATAGATTGGTTTAAATGAGTTAGGCATGTAAAGTATCCATTTATCTAGCTGGACTGTTTTTCATTGAACCAGATGGGTTACAGGCGACTGGGAGCCTTGTAGCAAGAGCTGCGGAAAAGCAGGGTATCAGGTGCGTTCCGTCAAATGTATCCAGCCGCTGCATGACAACACAAATCGCTCTGTTCATACCAAATACTGCAGCAGCGATCGTCCGGAAGGCAAGCGGGCGTGCAACCGGGAGCTTTGCCCAGCTCAGTGGCGGATAGGACCCTGGTCAGAGGTAAGCAGGAATCTGTGGCCTTGTTCAAATTATACTGAAATGTGCCTGTTGGAGTGATGTCATAGGGTCAGATTACTGCCATAAAAAAATGTTAAGAATTGCTTGGAAGATTTAATGGTTCTCTTCTTAAGAAAATGTCACTGAGAAAGCTTCCTTGAAAGATTCAATTATATGAATGGAAAGATTGCACAAGGTCTGTGGCTTGTTTGTTGATTTGGCTGTCTCAATTGTTATTCAATTATGTATTTCCATTTTTCCTATATATTTGAGTTTGGCTTGATTCAGAATGTTAGGCAGCTGGTTCGCAGCTCAATGGCCAAAATCCTTTGGAAGTCTATCCAGTGCTGTTTTTCCCCATAGCAGACTCCAATGATGCTTCAAAGTCTTAGACTGTCAGGCTTCTCAGGAAAGAACTGGACCATGCAGCTTCCAACCAAACACATTATAGGTTTAGAGACGAGGGGTGGAGGCGCACCAAGAGCTGGAAGAAAAGATTAAAAGCATGTAGTCTGTTCAAGAGTGCAGAAGCAGAAGAGGATAGCTGCACGAAGCTGAATTAAGGCTGGGCTGCGAGGCTGAAAGAAGGACCTCATCAAGGTCTAGGAAGCTCTCTGGAGCCCTGGATATTCCTACAGGGAGTAGCCTGCACAGACAAAGGTCTTTCATCACAAAATCATGAGTTTAACCTAATAAAAATTTCTGCAGATGCCCTACCAAGTTTACTTAGGGCAAAATGCAATGCTTGGTTAGACCAAATTTTTAAAATGTCCTAGATCTGCAGGCCCTTTTTCTTCCTAACCATGCATAGGAGCATTTCTGGTAGGTAGGTTACCGTTCCAGAAACCTCTTGGATTGCAAGATGCATACATATTATACATATGCATATGGTTTCCTCTTAGCTTCCTTAAAGATGGTAGGGCTAGAGAGGGTAGGAGAAAATTATGGGAGAATTGTGCATGTGGATTTGTCTGCTCTGCTGAAATCAGTGGGGAAACCATTCTGGCTTGGGAAGGTCTCTGTGGACATTGAAGCTGCTGTGCCTGAACAGAAGACCTGCCTAGGATATTTGGTAACTGTAAGGATTCCCTTCTGGTTCACAGCTCCTCATTGTAGTACAGTAATGATGATGATAAAAAGCAGTAAGCAATAATAAATCATATTATCTGCAATATACCAGCTACAAATAAACTTGAAAAAGAAAAGTTGAAGCCCAGTTTCTCTCTCTTCTCCAGTGTTCTGTAACTTGTGGTAATGGTACACAAGAGAGACAAGTTCTATGCAGGACTAGAGAAAATGTCATTGGCTTTTGCAAAGAAGATAAGCCCGAGACAATAAGACTATGCAAACTATCTTTATGTCCCAGTGAGTATTAACCATTTAAAAAAAACTTTTTGTTGTGGTAGGAGTGGGGAAGGATGCTTTGTGAAATGCAAGACAACACTGCAATTTAACTTGCTAATGATTTCAAGTCTGACTTGGGGTTGTAGCCAGACAAGGGTGTTACATTAATTAAAGCCAAAAATTGGGACAAGGGAACAGAACGTGTTGATAATCTATCTAGTTGTGAATAATCTCTCTCTCCAGATACTTACTGGTAGCTTGGACAATGGAAATTGGGCTATTGAATATTATGCAGACCTTTCCTTTTTCACGTTTCCCATTCTTGTTATGAGATGTTTGTTTCCCTGACATGATTCAAAGAAAGAAAGAATCTCCGGTGGCTGGCACTCTCAGGACAACTTCACTTGTCAACGGGGACACCCACAGGTGTGCCACCGCTGCTATGCTTCGTAGGAAGCCACAGACAGCTCTGTCTATCTCTTGAGTGTACCTCTTATGGAGTAGTACATGAGTTTCAAACACACATACACATTAAAAACTTGAGTCTTCTACCCAACCATTATGTGCAGAGAAATACTAAGATGGTAGAAAACACATATAGAACCATTTGTTTTGGCTTTTCTAGAGGCATTTTATCAGATGATGAATTTGAACAGAGGTGCCCAAATTGTTATTCAAATACTAAGAATATAGTGCTTTTTTAAAAAGTAGCTGCAGTTGTTTAAAGGTGTGGTTATTAGAATGGTAGCTATTAATTATTTTAAATAGACTGTAATTTTTAAATGGTGCATTAAGAAGTGACAAATAGGCTTACATTTTCCATCTTCCTGCTCACTGTGTCTTGTCTCTTTCAGAAAACACATCAGATACATCAAAGAAAACGTACATGATACAATGGCTGTCAAGACCGGACCCAGATTATCCTATCCAGAAAATATCTTCAAGTAAAAGACCAATTTATAACTCTGCCTTTGCTCTTAAATGCATGCCACATCACATGTGGACTTTGCCTTCTGCTCTGTTCTTCTTCCTATACGGAAAATTTCCTTGACTCTGCCAAGTTTTCCCCTTGGGCTGAATCTTTTCCCCCCACACTGGGCCTCGCTGCACAGTGTCTTCTTCTCTGGTGACTGAGTAGCACTTGCTGCAGTGGAAATCATGAAGGTGTTGGCTGTGTGAAGTAGGCTGCCTACAGTGTGTTGCAAGTCCTCCAGCAAAGTGAACTGGTACCAGTTTGCTTGCTGATTGGTGATGGTGAAAAAAGGCTCTTAACCAGCTCATGATTTCAGTTTGCGGGTGAAACCGAGAACTTATTGTGAATGTGATCACATCACAATAATGACACCTTGTAGTGCTAAAGTTCTCCTTTTGTCTCAAGGTCCTCTATTGCATAGCAGGTTAGTTTCAGTGTTTTTTCAGGGTAGTCAAACAAAATGAAAGTGCTCATTCCATCTTTCTTTGCAATTTCATTGCTTCAAAACTCATGCTTCACAATTTTTAAATTCCTGGCTTTTAAATTTTGTGTTTGTTATGATGAGAAAACATATTCTACAGGTGGATGAGACAGTGATCCCATCAAATGCTGCTACTGAATGGTGCTTTTACTACATTTCCTTCACCTATGTTTCTTTTCAAAACCAGCAAGAGTTTCTTCATACAATTTTACCAGAATATTCCTTATTTTCTTTACAATGAATGAAAGAAAGAAGGACAGGCAGGCAGAATGACAAAAACTACGCTACAGTTTGTGGTGTGCTGTATTTTAATCTCGTTGAGGCAAGATGACATTGTCCTGCTATGCAATGTCAAAAGTTGCTCAACAGTATGAACTCTTTCTACATCATTGCATCCATTAGTCTTTTTTCACCATTTGCATGTTTGATTGGACTGGTTCAGTTGTGAGTGTGTGTGTGTGTGTGTGTGTGTGTGCGTGTGTGATCTATAAGTGTGTGTCAACTGGCAAACATAACAGTGTGAACAACTACAGAATTACCTCAATTTTTATTGCTTTGTTTCATTTTGCTTAGGGAGAAATAAACTATGTTTAGAAAAATGCCTTAAACTTTAATTGCATTGGCATTAACCACCTGTTCCAGCTTTAAATATAAACAGTGCACTGGTATCATGAATTGATATTCATGTAGTGTTTTTACTTGAATGATAAAACACTGGAAAGAAGTTTGCACAGTCCATGTATAAGAAGGGAAAAATCATTTTCAAATTAGAGAAAAGGTCCATTGCCAACCCAGCCTGTTTAGTGGCAATTTGTCGCTTCAGTGTATGTTTGTGTTAAAGACTATGACTTATTATCCACAAAACCACTTACAGAACAGGATAGAACAGAAACATACTAGTCCTTGAGTACCACAGCAAACCGCTTGCTTCCATATGCTACCAAATTATATCTCTTAGGAAGGTTTTTAACAATGTAGCACTTCAAAATTGTCATTATCATGTGATCACATATTTAAATTTTGCTGTTACTATGATGATTTGCTGCTGCAACATGTTAGTAATTATACATGGCAACGTAAAAGGCAAAGACACGTTATCTGGCACTAAATACTGTTATGTAATATAATTGGTGTTTAACTGTTATCAATTTATTCATGACTGTTAGTAACCTTTACATAGACAACTGTTCAATGATGTTTCAGGATCTGGGTGGCTACAGAGAATGGTGCAATAAGGTATCTGGGCATTGTGCACTAGATCTATATGCACTTTGGTTTATCAGGGATCTTTTATTAGTGTTTTGTATGTATTTAGCATAATATTAAATATGTGCCAATTCAGTTTGCTGTTCAATATTTTTTATGAGGCCAGTTGAAATGTGTACCAAAGTGACTGTGCAAATTACTATTTTTTTCTTACTTCTGAGTTGAAGACATACTTCCAGTCTGTCATGCATACTGCAAAATAAAATAAGATGAAAGTTGAGCAGGTCTGGCGGTTTTGCTTTAGGAAAACAGTATAAATTTGTTTTAATATAAAAAGATACAAATTTACCAGAAACAACAAATAATGTTGTGTACCTTAATTGTGAAAACATTTCAGTCCTGACTGAAACATGACTCTCTCTTTGAGCTGCACATGGTTGCCATTTTACTGCTGAAAAATAAGGCATTTTTCTAAAGATGCTTCAACTGGTTCTTATATTGAACAGTCAAAATCATTCCTAGTTTTAAGTATTAATTTGAAAAATGCATACAATGATTTAGCTATCCTTTAAATTTTTCTATTCTAATACTATAATTTTTTAGATTCATGAAGTGTGTGTGTGTGAAAGAGAGAGAGAATGAGAGAGAGAGACATGTTTAACGAATTATAGGGAAATTCTTTCTCCCTTAGATTTCATAATGAAGTGATGAGTTAACACACAGTTAACAGCAGAATTCATTTTTATGTTATTCTTCTCCCAAAAAAGATTGGTAGTCCCCACACAAAATGACTAACTTAAAGGATATTTCCCACCACTGTCAATCAGTGCTAATTTTTCAGAAATATTAACATGTGCTGGACTGATAGGTTTGCCAATTAAACACTCATGAGCTTTTGCTCATGCTTTTTTTTTGTTTAAGTACAAGATGAGTAAAGAGATCTTAAGTGCCCCTTGAATTTGATCGGGAGATGCTCTGTGTTGTACTGTGCTTGAAAGCCAGGCATCACTGAAGCGCCCGCTGCCACAGCTGCGCACAGTGCTGTTCTAACCGCCGTGGAAGGCTGTCATAATGCCATGGCTGGCTGCTCATACACTGGAAACTTCAAGAGGGCAAACCTTTGCTGGGAGAGGGTATCTGGAGTGGAGAAGTGACAGCTCTGGAAATGGTTGCTCCCTCCCCCCGCACACACACTGCTTCTAGCCTCCCAGTCGCCCACGCTTGAAGAGGCACCCCCTCTGAGCCACTCCTATGCATTGGAATGCAATATCTACTTAGCTTAGCTCCGCACTTAGCTTAGCAAAGCTATCAAGGATATTTGCCAAGTGGATGTTTTGCGCTTGAGGCATTCGACCCACATGGCACGGTCCCCCTGCTGATTAAGAGAGGGCACTCTCTGCTGGGGAGCTTGCTGGCAGATGTCATTAAAATGAACAAAAGCCTCATCCATTGCTTTCAGTGGGAGGTACATCGGAAACCCTGTCAGCAGATTGTAGTCCATGAGTAAAATTTGCCCCCTCCAACTATCCTTTCTAATGCTCTGGCCTCCTGTTAGCTTATGGTAGGACTGCCTGAGTACTGTCATTAGTGCATATGTGCATGCACTTGGGTGCCTGTACTGGGCCCCAGAGCCCATTCCTCATGTGCACAGGGTGATTGAGGATACCTGTTTGCTTTTCATACTTTATATGATTGATGCAGGAAACTGATATTACATCAAGAATTCTACAGCAAACGTGATCGCTGGCACTGCTATTCCCAAAAACAGCATGGATAGGACTGGATTGTAAGACCATATTCTTAGCAAACTAATGAAATATGGTACTGAAAACAGAAAAAGAGAAGCACATTGGAGACAGATGTAGAACAAACTTAATGAAATATCTGCAGTGTAGAAGTGCACATCCAATTTAAGAGGATCGCCAGCTTACAACAAGATAGGTGCCTACAGTTGGGACTTACGCTTAACATAACATGCAGCCTTTAAAGTAACTTTTCTCTTCCTCAGCATTCTTTTCCTGGGAATAACTGGCATGTACATGTCTTTTGAAGTTTGTCAACATTGCAGTCTGGACCTAGGTCACTAGTGCAGCTTGGCTAGTGGAAATGGGCTTCCCCACTCCCTCTTCCCTACCACAGCCCTGAAAATCCTGCTCCCTGACATTCTGTTCCGAAGGGCCAGGGCATCCTTCTGTATGGGGCAAACTGCAGTGGAGGAGGGAGACCCCCCACCCCAATTAGATAGCAGCACCTTCTGTGAGTAGAGGCTTTCCTTCCACAGAGATTGGTCAAAGACTGAAGCCATTCCGTTTTGAGGACATGATTATGAACACCTGTATTTTTAGGTAACTGCAGAATTGTAATGGGGGCAGGATAATATACACGTCCATTTTACTCTGTGAGATTACAGCAGAACTTTTGCAACATTTAGTTGCAAAATTAATGAATACATTGTTATTCTGTCTTGCATTTATCTTTGAACATGGATGTGTGACATAGGAAGAGAGGCCTTAGATGTGGATTCATACGTCATCTAAATGAGGAAAATATCCGCTAAACTTTTGCGACATCTTTCCCTTTTCCTCAGTTTGAAGTTGAAGCTTCACTGGGTGCATTTACTGTGCCACATGGTATCATTTCATTTGCCTAGTAAGGGAAGTATTTGTTTCCCATTTACTAATGACATATTTCATTAATGTAGTGTATCCAAACAATTTTATGCTGGTTAAAGTGTATTTCAGATTTTACAACTCAAAACTCAATTTGGCTTTTTCTCTACTAAAGAAAAAACCTTAATCATTATTTATGGATTGATGTAAAACATTTCTATCCTGTCTGCATCCATGGCAGGATGTCTAATCATGCAAAGCTTCCTTCATCAGAGTTTACTGGAATTGTTTAAACATTACAGAAATCACAGTCCTTATTGTGAACTATCCCACAGAGACCAGGGTATAAAATTGCTTTGTTCCTTACATTTGACCAGTTCCTGTGGAAGAACATGATGGCACAGTGAACAAGGTGTGGAGAAACTGAAGGCTACTAAATAAGGCTTCAGTTGTTTGTAGAAGCCATGAGGCCTGAGTGATACACATGGTTTATAGTTCCAGTTAGGCTGAAAATAATACAAGGATGCCCTTGCTTACTCCCTGCTACAAAATCCTCTGTACTTAGCACCTAAAAGCCCATATTGCTTGGATTATGCTATAATGCTGTGGCAGAAACAGAAGATAGGTACATAGAAGGTATTCATGTGGAGGACAACACATCAAATTAGCTCCTAATATGGCAGGCTATTTTCATATCTGACCCTATATGCAAACAGTAATCTCATTTCTCATAGCATCATGCACACAAAATATTTAATGGGAAAGTTCCACAAACAACCCAGCAAGACTTGGCTGGTCACAGAAAGCTAACTCGGAAAAAGCAGGTTAGACGGGGAAAGGGATGGAGAATCTCGGACAGGCGTGCCCCACATTGCAACATTTGTTGCAGGTCATGGTTGTTATTTTCAACACATCACTGGAATAGTAGTTTCCTTTAATATAGCATTTTCCCACTTCAGATGTCTTCCACAATGGATCGGAGTTAACTACCCATTATTAATTATTAGCCACTCATATGTATGGCACACTAAAACATTTGAATACTAACCAGTAGCCCCTTTGAAGGGCAATTTACCAAGTATGAAAGTTTGTAATCCATCACTGAGTGCCAATGAACTCAATCCAAGCAACTCTTCTTCTGATCAAATTGACAAGAAGGGCGCAAGCAAAAGTCCTACAACGTTCCCTCAGAGCCACTCCTATTCCGCTATATAGCTAAGGCACATCTAATTACAGAGGCCAGAAACATATCCCGGCTCACCGCTTCCGAATTTCTCCAACTTCGTGGATCAGCAAGGGTGAACTAAAGCTGGCATTTTAGGGGCAGTGTTTCAGTGTTAGGGATACCATATGAAAAGCCACTGGGGATCCTTCTGTGCAGGGATATAATCATATAATGTGTGAAAGATACTCCCTGCATAATTGTTTAGACACGAGTATCTCCACGCTCATGGCAACTGCTGCATGTGGATCATGGTATTCCAGATAGTGAGTGTTTCTTACAGACATCACTGCCTCACAAGAGCAATTCCAGTTGCATCTCACACAGCCATAAGGTGTGAGTTTGAAGCCAAAGAGCCTGGAACCCACATGATACAGGAATTATGCTTCTTTGTCACCATTTCCCATCAGAGTTCAAACAGTGTAAAATTTTGACTTGAAAGTTTTGATCAGTCTTCAGTTGAGGGCCCATATTATGTCTCATTTTATGGTATGCAAGAGGCTCTAAGTCCAACTTTGCTTGATTCTGTCTTTAGTTTATAGCGTACACATAATTCTATTTTTCTCTTCCAGCAGAACATTGCCAAGGAGACAAGTCAATGTTTTGTCGCATGGAAGTTCTCTATCGGTACTGTGCAATTCCTGGTTACAATAAACTGTGTTGCAGTTCTTGTAATAAGTACGGTAACAAAACAGGAAGTAATCCAACAAGCTCCAACCATAGTAAAGTTAATGATATCGAAGAGGATATACCTCCCACACTTACAACTCCTGCTCAAGTCCACAGCCCATATACCACTGCAGGGCCACCATTTGTCACCAACGTGAATGTCACCAGTTCTAATGCTTCCATAGATCAGCCAGAAGGTAACGCAGTGGATGTCCCCTATAAAATTCATGGGCTTGAAAATGAAGTACGACAGCACAACATTATCTTGAAGAGGAAACCACCTTATGAACGGACAAACAACCGAAGAATTCAGGAGCTGATTGCTGAAAAAAGGAAAAGAGAGATGCTCAGGAAATTGCATTAAAATGGAAATTTAACAACAAATATTTTTTCTCTCTTATAGAGATGTTACCAAATGCCGCAGTAATGCCCATGTCACCATAGAGACTAAATACATATAGTGGTGCTATGGCAGAAATGCCAAATGCCTGCAAAAGATAGAAATTTAGGGTTATTTAATTAAGGTTAATATAAATATTGTAAAAATGGCTAGGGTCACCAGTTGCCACAGAAACTCGTGCAATATCCACAGCAGTTCCATTGCTATGTAGCAGTGCCACCTACCACAGTCAACCAGGTTCTAATTTTTCGTGGGTGCTCTTGCTCTCTCAGTGTGTATACTTGAGTCCAATGAAATGTCACCCGGAGATGCTCACAGCGGTGCCAGAGGTTCCAAGAGCTCAAGCCAAGTCTTCAGTAATGCATGGAGGCCTGTAGTGCAGCCAGTGGAACCTCTGCTTTGAGGAAGCATGTCTGCTTTCTTTAAACACGCAGATCCTAAATACACTTATTTATAAATAAGCCCAGCTCAAGTTTGGTGGAACTTATTTCAAAGCGTCAGAGGAATTCAGCATGCCAGTCACTAGTCTTACCTATCTTTCCATTGAATTCAACGGTGCTACTCTCATACTCAGGTAGCAAGAAAGAGTACCACTGTAACATCAAGAGATTAACTTAGGCCCAGTTTCAGGAATCAAGCTCAAGTATATTCTTTGTGTTAACCGCTTGAGAAAGTAGGTATGAGGTGATGCGGCTTACTGTACAAAATCCAGCTGAGGAGAGAGCATTCTGCAGAAGTCTGATCAAAGTAGTATTTAACATCATCGTTCTTTCAAAAGAGCATTTGTTCACAAGTGTTGGAGATTGTGGCAGTAAAAGCATCACCATATTTGCTTCCTTTTTATCACATTTAAGAAACGACACAGTGGTAGCATTCATGAATATACTTGCCCCTTCAGCTTCAGGTGGAAGAGCCTCTTGGTGCTTCAGGGGGCTCATATCGGGGGGTGGAGGAGCTTGCATGTGTATCTGTGTTTATTTTCCCATGAATCAGATAATAGCATTCTTGGATAATATTTGAAATTAAAATTATCTCACTGGCTGGACTGCCTAAATCATCCCCAATTTCAATATTTTTGTCTGTTTTCAGATATCTGCATTTTTAGTCTTATAGGCTTGCAATGCAAATTATTCAGTATTTGGATAGTCCGATCATTTCTCCCAGTTTCTGTTCACATTCTGGTTAATTTAAATGACTGGATTTCCCTTTTCTTTCAGTTGGTGCTTTTTTTGTGAAGATAATGTAGAATGTGTTTATTACATTTTCTATAGTGCAATGTTATACCATTTTGGTAATGAACAATGTGTATTATCAACAGTTAATTAGGACAGCTGTACGGTAGCAGAAACAAAACACCTGTCATTATGCATATATATGTGTATACACCGTACTGAATCTGCTTAGACCTTAGCAATGTATAGTTTGACACCCCTTTGAGTACTGGTTTCATTGCACACAGCACTTTCCGAAAGCTTGTCAGGATTCAATAGCACAAGTTGATCGCTACTCATTTTGTTCATTGTCAAATAGCCAGACCCTAATAACCTTTTCTCACCAGTAACCCCCAGTGCGACTTATGTGTGAATAAATAGTCCCACTGATGGGTCAGCTTGGCCATCAAGCATGATATAATTTAAAATTACCCATCTCCATCAAGCTTCAGCCAGGTCTCAAAACAATTAAAGTTTTCCCGTCATTTTAAATGGATAATAGTGATAGGTCAGATTCCTAAGTATAATTGCTACTTTAACGACATATTTGGTGGCGGCTGAGAAAACCTCTGAGCACAGACATACACTATGAATGCTAGTGGATTGGTGGGACCATGCATGGACTGAAAAGCCAGCTAATGTCTTTGTGTTTTGTTTTAAAAACAATTTACTGTCCTGCCTACCAGTTTTAGCAGAGCTTCTCTATTTCATAACTTGCCCAAGTCATGAATTCCTTGCAATGATTACAAGGTTCTTGATGTGGCTGCTGCCCTCAAAAACCTAACTAAAGAGGAATTCCAAATTAGTACAAGATCACAGATTTAAATGACAATTTATGGAGGAAAACAAAGTTTCTTGCACACCTTAATAACTGGTATAATGATTTTGCATACTGTCTTTTTTGACTAATAGTATATAAGTTGCTCAAGAGCCCTTTTGCTGAGGAGCAACTAAAATGCTTTAAGTAATATCATTTGTGTCCTGTTCAGCTAGATCCAATTTGGTATCACACAACTAGCCACGGCTCTCATTTATATCAACTGGAGATGGAATGTGGCAAGTTGTAACAGTCATGGCATATATTTGACCTGATCCAATTTCAGTCACATGGTACAGCAACTGTTGGTGTTGACCGAGGGTGTCCCTTGCATAATCTTACATCACTGCCTTTTGTGTTCCAATAGAGATCCCTGTAAGCATCTTCTGGTGTCTTCCAGTTCAAAGGGTTCCTTGGAATCATTTCGGAGTTGCTTCTTTTTTCCCTCTCAAAACCTTGAAATAAGACAAGTACAAGGATTGTCATATTAATATGAAATTCATGAAGAAATACATCAATCAGGAAAGCCATTTTACTGCACTGGAAATGCCCAATGATATATGCAATCTCATTTTTAGTTGTTTGGGACATGCATGTGATATATTTTTCTGGAAAGTTCTATTTCTCTGAAACTTGGGGGCAGGAGGAAGCTCTTAGCCTCTCCTTGGCTACACATATTCTGCACAAGTGTACAATGTGCCAGAATTCAGAAACTGAAAGAGTTTTGAAAACAAGAGTTGGGATTAAATTACCATTGGCAGTGCCCCTGATAGAATACTTTGTGGCACAATTTTCTGCAGCAGCTTGATCGAAATGAAGACAGTTTTGTTCTGTTTCAGATGAAACATGCTTGTCAGTATGTAGCTATGGACCATGATAAGAGATGTGCATGGATAGCTCCGTGTGGGCAGGATCTTTCCCCTCTTCCACATGGAGACTTGTGGCAGTATGCCTTGCACAGAGGAAATTTCTGCTAAGTAACAGAGAGAAGGCAGCCCTCCATGGAGGGCGCAGAGGCCTTCCTGTGGGCCTGTGCCATTCATTATTTCTGAGGTGGAGCGTTCAGCTGTTTGTGAGTCACTTTCATCAAGAGGTGACTCTCCTCTCTCATGAGCCGGTATGTTGACAGTGTACGTGAAGGAGAGCTGCTTAGCAATTCATGTGCCTAAACATACATCCTAGAAACAGAATCAACTGGCCTAATTTGCTTCTTGCTTTCTTGTGTGCCTAACAACTTACTCTTCCCTGAATGCAATTTGTCCATTGCATTGTGCCTTCTTTGCCATTGTGCACCTATATATTTAATTATAGTCAGTTTCCTGTATCCCACAGCCTTTTTTCTTCAAAGTGCAGCTATGTCTGTGCTGCAGTAAGCAGATTTTCTCACAGGACTTCAGCTACTACACCTCTGATATTCCAGAAAAGGTTGCCTTGGCAAAATTCACAAATGGAAGACTATCCCTGCTGTATTGAGGAAGCCTAATTTTAAACATGATGCTTTTGGTTCTGAAAATTGTACAGATGAATCCTTCCGCTAGAATTGCCCTCCCACAACACACGGCTTGATCAGTTGGGTGGGGGGAGCACAGAGCAAGCTATTTTTAAAGGTGCAGAGTCCCTGCTTCTATACCTTTAACAACAGCTTGCTGTCTCAACATGGGCAGTAACCAATCAAGAGTGCTGTGGCACCTTAAAGACTGTCAAAGTGATTATGGCTTTAGCTTTCATAGATTGCCATTGATCAAGCCTCTATTGACATTCCAAAAAAACATCTAAGCTGCTGTTCAAGATAAATCGCAGGCCAAAGTATTTTTGTGGCTGACTGAAACCCCTTTATGCAACTGCCCTGGTCCGCACATTTTATCCAAATTACGGCAATCCCAGATGTTTTCATTATCTCAACTGCAATCTGGGGAAGAAAACTGCTGATACTGTGTTGCCTTTCGCACCGCATTGTTCATCATGCCATGGCTTAGGATCTTAGCTCTGCCAATACTGATCTATGTACAAGAGTGTTCTGAGTTGAGTCCTTTATTTTACTCTGGAACTTCACCTTCCAGGTTAACACTTCTGTGAGCATCCCCTGTATTGAATTAGGGTTTCTTATCACGCCCATCCAACCCAAAAGTGTGTACATCCTGGAGCGTTCCTTGAGTCCAGTCAAATGCAACCACGGCTATATGCAAGATGTCACTTTCAACCTGCATTGAAGAAATGCTGGAAAAAGTCTGTTCGGAGTCAGGCAAAGCTGGATCCAGCCTGTGCTGGGTTCACATACCAACTGCCCAAGGGAAGGAAGTCAGCATGTGCAATACGTGTCAGCACTTCCAGTAGCTACCCAACAGTTCTGTGAAGGGCCTTTAGAATGCTTTAAATGAAAAATCTCTAAATGGTGCTTTACCAGTACTCAAAGGGTATTTGTGATTTACTTTTATTATGTACTGCATTTAGTCCTATATTTACTCGCCTACAATGCACAGTATTAGCTATATTCATATGGCACAGCCATTCACATATGATGCATATGCCTTAACATCAGCCACCATGAATTGTATATTAAAATGTATATAAAAATCAGAATCTTTAATTTTATAATTTATTAAAGTCCAGATGTCTGGGTTCTTTTGCAAAGGAGTGTGACTTTTTAACTTTGGTTACTCAGATTCTACCCCAGTAATATTCCGTATGATAGGCTAGCGGGCGCTTTTTCACCCCTAGATGGTGTCTGTGCTCGGCCCGCTTAGGCATTACTGTAGCAGTCAGTCTCCCCAGACTCCCCACTTCCTGGCCACCCATTGGGCAGTAACCGCCACCCAGAGACTTCCTGGTCCCCAATTCTGGACCCACGGGATTCAGCACACAACAACCCAAGCATTGGGGGGAAAGAATTTTAAAAGGTTAGCAAAACGAGAGTGGAGGGTCTAAAACCACTAAGACACACAGGGCACAATTACACAGAAGAAAGGACGGGAAGGGAAATTAGAGAGCAGATATAACTTACAACCAGTCACACACACAACCCATGAGCCCGGGCCCCGTTGGCCTCCTGGGACACAAAATAAAGCTTCCCTAGTCTAGCTTTACACACAAATACTATACCAGATGTAGCCTTAACAGATGCAAGGTAGTACAGTGTTCTTCAGCAAAGCCTCCAGCAGCAAAAAGGGAACCTCTCCTTGAAGAGGAACCCCAAACCTTCTCTGCTCCCCTTTTTGTCCCCCTTCTGTCTCATCAGATGACTCCCGGGGTGACATCGCATGGCATATTTCCTGTGAGGACCATTTGCCCTTACTGCCCCCGATCTCCTGCTTTCTCAAGGAGGGCGAATTCCCCGGGCCTTGGCTATATGGCTGCATCTCCTTGGATCAACACCTGGCAGTTGCAGCCATTTGCCAGGGTTGCCCATCAATCCTTCTGCATGTCAAATGTTAAGCCAGCATTTACTCTTATTCAATTATCTGGAAGCAGAATTAAAACAGCAGTTTCACAATCACACAGTAGAGCACTATGTTCCCCACTACAATTTCACAAAAACTAGCCCTAGAAGCAACATTATGTCATTAGCCAGAAATACACTTTGTTCAAAAGTCCCATTTAACTTAGACACCAGTCTAGTCAAAAGTAACTGAGTGTAACAGAACATTTAAAGAAAACATGTTTCTGAGTAAGCATTACTAGAATCTTGCTTGTAGGAGAGGGTTTTCTGGAATTCTAATGGGGAGCACAGAATTCATCATTTCCTACTTGCTGTGTCTTTTGAAGTGGATTCTTGGTTACAGACTCTGTAGTTACTGGCCACAGCATTACTGAATTTTCCTTTTAAAGAGTCAGTTTCTGTTCCCTACCAAAAGGCCCTCATAAGTTATTTTATTTTTGCAACTAGTACAATTGCTTATTTCAGCTGGGTTTTTAAATGGATTATCAAAATTGCTTCCCAGCAGAACACAGAACCTAAATAATTTGTTTCAAAATGGCTGTGTCTTCAGACATGTTTACATGGGTACACACAATCAAGGATACACTCATTTAGGGGTAAAATTCTGTCATTCCCATTCTAGCGGCATGTAGCCCTATGAATGCGGAAGGTACATGCATCCAATGTAAGGGTGATCCCCAGTGCTGCCATGGCTCAGCCCATGCATTTTATCTAGACAGACACTTTGGTCCTCTAGCTGAAGAACCAGGGGAGGGGAGGGGAGGGGCTCTCCCCCCTGCCTCCTCCCTTCCCTGCCCCAATTGCATGCATTTTTCCCCCCTCTGAGGTTCACATCTGCTCTCAGAAAGGCAGGCAGTGCAGTTCTTTCTGGTCCAGTTTGAGGGGCGGGTTGGAGCTCAGTGCTGGGATGCCAAAGAATCTATGGCCCCAAGATGAAGGTCGGCAGCCCTAGGACTGCACCCTAAGGGGCCTTTGCAGCTTATCGCCAGTGACACAGTGCTGCACATGGGCACACACACAGCTCTGTGTACACGTCTCCCAGAGCATTTAAGGGAACACACAAGAAAAAAGAACCTGCACAGTAATTAGTTCTGGGAATTAGCTGGGCAACAACAGGCACTTTATGATTTCTAGAATGGATTCAGTTCATATATTATAAACTCGTGCATATTAAGCAAATGAAACAAAAAGAATTGGTAAGAGAGACGTCCCTGCTCTGGGTTCATGTTGTGGGGAAATTGGTTCAGAGGCCTGCTCAGCTGCCAGGCTGAGGGCTCCAGTGCCTGCAGGTCTAGTCCACAAATCTGCGTAGAACGTCTGGGCTGGGCCGGCTGCTGGTCCTGAGGAAGCCGTGAGGGCTGAAGCCAAGCACAGGGAACCTCAGCAGTGCTGGGGGCAGAAAAAAGAGCTCTCGTGCTGAGACTGCAAGGACAGGAGATGCAAGGAGCAAGCCGAAGCTTCTGCTCGGGATGGGTGGGGCATCAATGCCAGGGGCAAGAGCAGAGCCTGGATTACCTATACCGAAAATGCATGCACATTCCAGTTTCCAACACTATGTATGCACTACCTTCAGTTCCCTCCAACAATCTTCCTTGTGTACTATGTCTATTTTATCACACTGCCCCAGAGTGACCAGGATGCAGCTGTTTCCAAACATAGAATTTCTACACACACTCACAAAAGCACATTAGTGGGAACGTAAGTGGGAGGCTACAATGTGTATAGAAGGACCTTTGGAATAGAATGGGGCTGAAAGATACATTTCCTGTGATCCCAGTGGATTGTCCTGAAAAAAGCCCTGGGCGAGGCTATATTCAGGTCACCATTTCTGCTAGATTGGAGACCTCCATGACCAGAGGAGATAATCTGAGAAAAATAAGCCTGATGAAGCTTGGACGGAATGGAATCACACTTTACATGGCTTAGAATGCTTTCTGCTGAGCAAGAACCCGTGGATACAGCAGGGATTGTCATGCACCCCACATGCTTTCCGCAGCAGAGTCAAACCTGGCCTCAATGATGCCCAGAACATTGTGAACCCGACAACTGGGGTTCTTATGCAAATATTACCAAAATACAAGCAGCTCTAGGTCTGCTGCAGAACGTAAAATGAAAGAAGACGACTGTTGGGTATAGCCAGGATTGGTTTTAAACCAAGGTTTGTGATGACTTGCTACTAAAGTCAGCAGGATTCTTGAAGGGACAGTCGAAATCTGGTTTCTCCCCTTTCAGCGGAGCTTCTTATCAATTGCCACTTTTATTTTGAGCTTTAAAAGAGCTGTCCGTGGTGCTGCATAGTGGTGAACCTATTTTGGGGGTGGAGTTCAGCACATAAAAGCTGTGGTGGACAGGGAGTGCTGTGTCCAACACTGCAGCACCCGGGGTTGGGGAAATCCCTGTTGATGGTTATGCCACACCTGGAGTGAAATCGCTTCTCTGCTCACCTATCCATGTTCCTGTTTGCTGTGCCCAGTCTAAGTATGGGGAGATTAGGTGGTGTTGCTAAATCACGTTTGGGATATGTGTCTCACTGCTGCCGCCTTCGGGCATAATCCTTTGTGAAATTGTCCCATTTGTCCTGCAATGTTTCCAGGCCCTGCTTTGCTTCATTTAAGGCCAAGCAGCCTACCAAATATCAAGGGTCATATCTGCACATGCTCGGCCCCAGGCATCTTGCCAACATCTCCTCCTCTGGTGGTGTGTGAGTCTCCTCACCCACATCAGTAACACAAGTGTCCTGCTCCAGAGCAGTCTCCCAGTTTGCCAAGTCTCCATGCCAGGGATTTAATCCAGCACAATGCTCCAAACTAAGTGAATGTTACTACAATTGGTGAAATTGCTATGATCACAATGGGAACTGACAGTAACCTAAATACACCGGTTGCTTGCTTACATTCACCAGTGGCCCTCTCTGTGGAGGCAACAACTGATGCCAAATCTAGAGTTGGCTCTAGCCTTTCGCTGCACCCAATTTCACGAGGATAATCTTCTGGTCTTCTGGAGTTCTAAGTGAAAAAGCAGATTGCAGGCAGCAGATATACCCAAACCTTATAAGAAAGGTAGCAATTTGAGTCTGAGTGGGCTCCCAGGGCACAACTGGGTATAATTTCATATTTTTGCTTGCAGCAGTGATTATTAGAAATAACCAGAAGATGTTTTGTGTGGGACTCTAGGAGGCATGTCTGTCAGGATTGCAACTTCTTCAACTGAGGCTGCATCAACTTTTGGACTTCCATGGGAATTTGCCCTGAGATTGCTTGTCTAAGCATTCCCATGGCAACATTTTGTGTGAGAGACTGAACCTGCTCACAAGCCAGTGCCAAAGAAATATTGTTTGCAAGAGCTGTACTCCAGAGAATATGAGTAAGTGATCCTTTTCAGACAGTTGCTCCGAGCTGGGGAACACTTGACTGGCTGCTTTTTGTTCTTCTGCAAGTGGCAAAAACCAATTTATACTGGGTGAGGCTAGTCTCAACTCAACTGTGTGACACAGGACAATTTGGTTGGCACCACGTCTGTGGTAACCACATCTAAGAAGGTGGGTCTGACTCCAAGTGGACCAAGTCCATCTTTAAGGTTCCTCTTTATCTGTGGAAGAAGAGATACTTCAAACTGAGATTAATCCATAATTTCTACCCTCTCAAGCTAGGAATTTAGAAATGGTTCCTAACACATGTGAGTGCTTTAGATATACTTGCACCTCCTTATAGAAGGTTGGGGAATGGCAGGATTTGCCTGACATTGTGGCTCATCAAAGTGTGGTACACAACCACAGGCTCTCGCAGTCTCTATAACACTGACAAGCCTATGATCAGAGAGTTAAATTCAAGCTTGGTTACATTCCCAAAGCCAAAGTTTAATTCACACAGTCTCTGTTCATTGGCTTCAGAATTCTAAGGGAATGTGATCATAAACTCTAAGCTTGATAATTCTGATCATCCAGCACATGCCCTCCGTCTACGCATGTGGGTGCCAAAGCAGGCCATCTCCTGTCAGTGTAAGTACTGGCACATTTTCCTGCACTATTCAGTTTAAGCATGTTTTATGCAAATCTTTTCAGACTCATTCTGTCTTCAAAATATTTGGTGGAGTGGAAGTAGTGCTTTGCCTTGCTTGACCAGGCCTCAATGCCCGTGAATTATTCAACACATTACAGTGATGTAGTCAGTTTCGGTGGGAGAAAGAAGAGTGTGGC